GCCGCCTGCCCTAGCGGCCCCTGCCCTAAGGAACGTCGTGTAGTCACCGCCGCCCTACATTTTGTACTCACCGCGTATGTCTTCACTACACAGGATTCAAATTTTAAAATTATAAGTTTGATATTCCGTTGCCTCATTGTACATCTGTTGCACTCACTCAGAATGACTTATTTAACCAGACGTAAAGCTGGTCGACTGGCTTGCTGGCTAGCTGGGCGGCTGGCCTGCTGGGCGCAGGTGCCGCGGGGAAACACGAATAAGTGACTAGTTAGACTGCTATCAAATCATGACTGTGATTAGTTTGTATGAGGATCTTGTACGAGTTGTGTTATAGTTATATGTTGCGTGTGTGAGTGTGTGTGTGTGTGTGTGTGTGTGTGTGTGTGAATTTAGTGAACCTTGTTAAGTTGTATGTGATATGCATTTTTAGATATTAATTAGATAATGATATTACAATAACAAAAGGGGGATTTGTATCGTCGCAATCGTCGAATGGTGAGATTTATTCGCCCAAGAAAAAAGACAAAATTAAAAGTACATACTCGTACGGTATATAGAGGGCACTGGACGTACGTATGTGTTTATGTATACTGTAACTGCTGCGACGATTGAGATCTGGGTCATCACTTCTTGATCCAACACTTATGCGTACCAGTTATACTTGAGTGCCATATTATAAATGTATATAGCTAAGTAACGGTGACATGTATGTACACAGTACATGCATAAAGGAATATATTTTTGTTAAATTTTTTGAACCGGACTGGCTCCGAGTAGATTTAAGCGAAGATTTGATATTTATTTACCAATTGGGATTTTTTATGAGGCAGTGAGGTGCCTTTGTGCTCTGTGCTGCGCAGCGCGGGATGTGCGCAGGAGCACGAGTTTTGTAAAGTTTTACTAAATTATATCAATATATTTATATTTTACATACTGATAAACCTGCCTTTCATTTCCTTCCCTTTTTCTTAATATTACTTTCTTGTACGGCAAAATTTAATTAAGTATGAATACTTCAAACTAAAGTTAGCTACCAAAAAGTTTAATGAGGTGTAAGTCGTTACTTTCATCTCACACATGACTAAGTAGAACATTTTGACACTTGAAAAACATTTCCCACAAGGGGGAGGTGTCGGCGACAATGTGAAAAAACTTAAAATGAAAACAAATCACTTTAATAGTTTAATTAATAAGTACATTAAAAACAAATAAATAGTAAATAGAATATGTTCTGTGTATATGTAAATGTTGTTATCCCGGCGGCGTCACCTCCTCCTCCCGCTTAGGTCACCTCCACCTTCTCGCGCACCTTGCGCAGGATGCTTTGCAGCTCGGAGGCGGACGTCGTCTTATACTGCAAACAGTTACAACATTGTAAAGGGCTGAAATCTAGCACAGGGAGACATCACTGTTTTTTATACCAAATCGGCCACTTACTAAGATTTTATCACCGCGATTGAAAGCGCGGATAAAAGGTAGCTACTACTTTAGAATTAGGGTACGTCAGTTAAATTCTACTGTAACTTTGGAACCGACTGAACAACGCTTATTTGTTGACAAGCAACTACCCGACTTCTACCATTTAATATTGAATGTACGACTATATCACGTTGTTAGTAACGGACTCGGCTCGTGACGGCCGAGTGTTACGAGTGTGTGCAGAGAGGAAGGGCTCACCCCGGACACGTTGCGCTGCACCAGCACCTGGCTGTAGAGGCGCTTGCCCTCGTCGTGTCCGAGCGCGCGCTCCAGCTGCGCGCGGCTCAGCGCGAACAGCTGGTGTCCGGGCACGCGGAGCT